GGGAATCTCGAGGCATTCCCAGGCCAGCCGAGAAACATAGTCCCTCCAGCTTGTCCTGGGTCTTCCTCTGGGCCTCCTTCCGGTGGGACGTGTCCGGAGCACCTCACCAGGGAGGCGTCCAGAAGGCATCCTAAACAGATGCCCAAACCACCTCAACTGGCTCCTCTCGACGTGGAGAAGCAGCGGCTCTACTCTGAGTCCCTCCCAGATGATCGAGCTTCTCACCCTGTCTCTAAGGGAGAGCCTAGACACCCTGCGGAGAAAACTCATTTCGGCCGCTTGTATCCGAGATCTCATTCTTTCGGTCACAACCCAAAGCTCGTGACCATAGATGAGGGTAGGAACGTAGATCGATCGGTAAATTGAGAGCTTCGCCTTTTGACTCAGCTCTCTCTTCACCACGACAGACCTGTACAGTGCCTGCTTCACTGCAGACGCTGCACCTATCCGCAAATCGATCTCACGCTCCATTTTTCCCTCATTCGTGAACAAGACCCGAAGATACTTGAACTCCTCCCCTGACCCGGAGAGGGCACTCTACCCTTTTCCGGCTCAAGACCATGGCCTCGGATTTGGAGGAACTGATCTTCATCCCGGCCGTTTCGCATTCGGCTGCGAACCGTTCCAGCGAAAGCTGTGGATCATGATCTGATGAAGTCAATAAGACCACATCATCTGCAAAAAGCAGAGACGCAATCCTAAGGCCACCAAAACGGATCCCCTCAACACCTTGGCTGCGCCTAGAAATTCTGTCCATAAAAGTTATGAACAGAATCTGTGACAAAGGGCAACCTTGGCGGAGTCCAACTCTTACTGGGAACAAGCCCGACTTACTGCTGGCGATGCGGACCAGGCTCTGACACCGGTCATACAGGGACCTAACAGCCCGTATCAACGGGCCCGGTACCCCATATTCCCAGAGTACCACCCACAGGGTCCCCACAGGGTCCCCACAGGGTCCCCCGAGGGACGCGGTCGAACGCCTTCTCCAAGTCCACAAAGCACATGTAGACTGGTTGGGCAAACTCCCACGCACCCTCCAGGACCCTGCTGAGAGTGTAGAGCTGGTCCAGTGTTCCACGGCCAGGACGAAAACCGCACTGCTCCTCCTGAATCCGAGGTTCGACTATCCGACGGACCCTCCTCTCCAGAAATACATTACAGCAAAGACTGGTTCATCCCAAAAAATCCAGTCCCCCGGCACAAACAGAGTAATGTTGTGTATGCTGTTCAGTGTCAGGATGGCTGTGATCAGTCTTACATCGGGGAAACTAAACAGCCACTGGCCAAAAGGATGGACCAGCACAGAAGATCAACATCATCAGGCCAGGACTCTGAGGTCTACACTTATTTCCAGGCCAGCAGTCACTTGTTCAGGGATGAAGATGTTCACATCCTGGACAGAGAGGAACGATGGTTTGAGAGAGGAGTAATGGAGGCCATCTTTGTGAAAATAAACCGTCCATCATTAAACAGAGGTGGAGGCCTACGTGTTCAACTGTCCCCCTCTTACAATGCTGTTATTCATTCATTCAACCTTTATTTAGGCAGGTTAATCCCATTGATCCTCGAGGACTTAACTTTTTTTTAGATTAGATGGACTTGATTTCCTCATAATATGTGATTTGAGCTTAGACGATTACCGGTAACTATCAGATTTCTATCAACAGACCCTTTTGTATTGGAAGCTCATCTTCAAACACAATTTTACTCCACACACCACACCAATTTGGAACAATAGATATATATTGATCAACAGAAAATCCATTTTTAGTGAGGAGTGGTTTCGTGAAGGTGTGTGGGCTGTTGCTCACTTTATGGATGCAGATGAAAACATGTTACAACATTCTGAGTTTTGTGATAAATTTCAAATATGTTCTACCCATGCAAAATATAAACAAATCATCAAAGCCTTTCCTCGTCAGCTTCAATCTATGGTAGACAGGATTTAATACATTCTAAAATGTCCCCTCTTTTATGGACACTTTGTACTCAAGATTTCGATTTTTGTGATGTCAGATGTAATAACAAGTTTATGCGAAGCTACTTATCCCATTGTACTGGTGCACTTTAAAGGCAATATATCCTGAGAAATTTCAATAAAGAACAAATTAAGAAGATTAGAACCAAATATCTATCTTTTCCCCTCTCATCCAAAATCAAAGAAATGCAATTCAAAATTATAAACAAATTTATTCAACCAATGAAAAGAACGGGAGGGCCTTGCAAAATTCAAGAAAACACAGTCTTTTACAGCATCAATTACAGCGTTTTGTAACGGTCACGTGTATAAAGCTGCGTTCAATGCACAAAATAAACAGAGTAAATTTCTGCGTTTAGAAGGCAGGCGTAAAAAAATGCCGTTTTGGGTGGATTTACATTGTATTTTATGGCATAATCCAAATTTTTTTTGCGTGAGGAAGCGTTGTAAATGTGTGTCTTGCCTAATTATCACCCCGAACATAAAAGATGCGTAAGACTGGGCAGTGTGAGGCAGCAATGACGTCACTCTCCTGCGCCGCTTGGAATTGCCAATTCAGATTGATTTTTGGAACACTTTTTGCAGGGGTGGGGCATGAAAACGAAAAAGCAGTTTGTTGTTAGTTTCCTCTGTAGCTGTGTTACACAATGAGCAGTCTTGAAGAAGAAAATGAAAATGATTTATTTTTAATTTTATTTATGAGTCCAAAAATGCAGCTTGACTTTGAAATGAAAAAGCATTTCTGCTATTTCATTTTAATTTTCAAATTTGACATTTCAAAATGAATTTTGGTCACTTTTTACTGGGACATATTTTGAAAATTAAATGTTAAACGCTATTTTATTTATCATTTTAATTAATTTACACAATGAGCAGTCTTGAAGAAGAAAATGAAAATGCAATTTGGATTATTCATTTTTAATTTTATGAGTCAAAAATGCAGCTTGACGTAGAAATGAAAAAGCAATTCTATTATTCCATTTTAATTTGATTTATGGGACATAATGGCTTCCATACAGAAGTTGTCTCAGGGGACTGAATAGAAATATTCTTATATAAAATAAATTAACAGAAACATTCATATATAAAAATAATATTTTAATATTATTTATCTGAGGAGCAGATTGCTTTGAGTAACTCATTGCAGAACTCTCATTAGCAGGACTTGGATTCTGGACACGCCTCCAGAATCGGTCCTAAAGTGCAGGTGCAAATCCAGGCTGAGCTGAGCCAGGCTGAGTAGAGGTGTGCAGGGCTGAGCAGAGTTGGGGCTTATTAGGGGCAGTGCAAAAGGGGCATTAGAGAGGTCAAGGTCAAGAGCTTCAAATCTTTTTGCAAGATATTCCAGGAAACAGAAGCGGAGTAGGAGAAGGCCCTTTTGCCAAGTTCAGTCCGCACTGAGTGGACACTGCAAGTAATAATGTCCTTAGAGCGCACGCTGTAGCTGCACTCATGCAGTGACATATAGGAGGAGATGTATGAAGGCAGCAGACCAAGAAGTGATTTAAAGATGAAAATGTACCAGTGAGAGAGTCTTCGTGAAGTTAATGACGTCCAGTTAACCAGTTGATACAGGGTGCAATGATGGGTACGGTAATCACAGCCAGTTATGAATCTTAATGCACCGTGATAGAAAGCATCCAACATCCGCAGGGTTCTTGTAGGAGCGTTCATGTAAATAATGTCACCGTAATCAATGGGGGGAAGGAAAATCACAGATACAAGGTGTTTCCAAGCATTCAGAGTTAGACAGGATCTGTTTCTGAAAAAGAAACCTAGTTTAACTTTCATTTTTTTTACTAGGTTTTCCACGTGGAGCTTAAAAGAGAGATGCGAGTCGACCAAGATACCCAAAGTTTTCCCAGGCGATGCACAATCTCAAGGTCATACCTTTGTAGCTGAAGAAGCATGCGTTGCAGATGAGCTGGGGCCATAGAGATTGTTTTTTTCAATATGTGCTCCCGCGGTCCTCTGTGAGGTCTGTTAGTATTTGAAGAAGACACGGTGGATGAAAATTTTGAGTGAAGCTTGAAAAAAAAACTCTTGTAATGCTGGTTCGTGGTTATAATACTAACATGGTGGTTTGCCGATAGTGCTAGTTTCCGGTTCGGGCTAATGGCAACTATGTATACACTTTCTCTTGGATTCACTTGAATTGACCATTCACTTATTAAACTCATTTTATCCAAACTGAAACCATTCATAAAAAAGCTATCTACAACAAGTAAGATATTAAATGTTTATAATCTTTCCACAGACCTCCACTGTAAAAGAGCTGCACTATCGCTTTAAATCATGTTGCATCAGAAATGATGTACTTTAGTTTATTGTGCTGTAATAAAGCTGGCATTAAAGTGCTTGCTACATCAAACTTTTGTAAAAAAAAAAAAAAAAAAAAAAAGAATGCATTTTTGGAAAGAAAACAATAATATACTGCAATAAAAATTTCATGTTGCTCTGATCAACAGTTGTTGAGATATTCTCATGCGCAGTAGCAGGAAGTGATGTAAAAGGGGAACACCTGCATGTGAACAGAGTGTTGCTACAATGGCTAACAGCAGACAGTAAAGAAGAGTCTGATGTTTTAGATGATTTTGAGTCTTATCAGAGAGAAGAAGAGTCAGAGTTCAAATAATATTGTGTCATTAAACAAAGACCAGGAAGTTCTCCCTTTTTTAGAGTTCCCCTTTGATGTCACTTCCTGCTGTGCTTTGGCTGCATCAAGTAAAAAAAAAAAAAAAAAAGCAATTTATTAACAAAACAGGTGAAATTGTTTATATTGCCAATTTTCTTTTCTTCCACTTTCTGTATGTGCAGGATATGCAGGCCATAGAAACTTTAAGCATTATATTTGTGTTTAGAGCAAACCAGTGATGTTGTCCTGGAGAAATAAAGCAGACTTAAAATAATGGCTTTGATTAGACTGGTCATTGTAACTGGGAAAATATATCTGATAAAAGTGACAAATAGCTGACCGACTCAGAGAACTAACTATTTTTGGTCTTTTTTTTTTTTTCAGAAAGAACTTCCCGACACACATGCCAAATTCCACATCCTGTTTCTGTTTTTTGTGGCTGCCCTTTTCTTCATCAGCGTCGTGTCACTTTTCAGCTACCATCTGTGGCTCGTGGCAAAGAACCGGACCACCATAGGTGAATGGAGATCACCTTCGACTCAACTTCTTCTTTTAAAAACAAAAAAACCTAACCTTTATAAAAACACTCTTTTCAGAGGCTTTTCGAGCTCCTGTTTTTGGGAACGGTCCAGACAAAAACGGGTTTTCTCTCGGCTTTAGGAGAAATCTAGTGGAGGTGTTTGGAGACCGGGCAAAGTTCTGGATTTTTCCTGTTTTCTCCAGGTGAGTGTTGTTAATCTAACTGCAGCCAGACTAACCAAGCCTGTCTAAAAGATGTTTTCTGTTTCACAGTCAGGGTGACGGCCACTCTTTTGTCACCAGACTGGTGCACATAGATCCTGAACAGGCAAAGAGTGTCCTCCAGCAGAATGGCAACATGTGAGTTTCTTTCCCCTAAATTTTCAGCGCTGATCTTTGAAGTTTACTTTTATTTGTGTTAATGGGACTTTAATTACAGCTCTGCTAACGGAGAGACCAACTTGTGTGTACAGCACCCAGAGGACAGCAAGAAAGAGACGACTGGTACGATTCTAAAGCATTTTTGTAACGATTATAATCAAAATACAGCCATTTAAGAGTTGAATTAAGGAAATAAAATTGGTGTTTGGTCATTTAGTCTCAGATGGAGGTCAGACAGTGGCTGTGACCATGGACAGTGAGCCTTAGGAGGTAAGTTAACACAAAATGTAAAGTAAAAAAAAAAAGTCCTTGTGTTTATTTGTGCTTCTGCTGATTGTCTTTGTAGATCACACGCACACACACGTCTGCAGAGATATCACATATGATGCCTTAAACCAGGAGCATCAATACCTCCAGGACCACCCTCAGCAGCACAACAATACTGTTGTCATGGCAACAAACCCTCCACAGCGTCTTTGTAGACTGCAGCAGTCTGAAACAAATGGGATTTAGGATTTTTGCATTTTCTTATTAGCCAAAGACATTAAAATATTAGCATTTTTTTATTGCATCTAAAAATAATGGAAGCCAACGTTTGTTTGTTTATCATGATGCATGGATTGATTTGTACATTTCAACAAAAGACCCATCTTTTGTCAGTATTAACTAAATATTTATTAACTCATCTTGAGTTTGTTTATGTTTGTTGAGCCACTAAAGCGTTGCTTGGGTAATTTAATTACATTTTAACACTATTACTGTTTGCATTATGTCCAAACCTTTCAACTCCAAACAGTGGAAACATGAAAGCCAGGGGTTATTTATTAAATGTTGTTTGAAGTTTATTTTGAAATTATTCACAGCTCATTCTGTTTACATTTTTATATGAATTTCTTTTTCTTTTTACATAATAATAAAATGTCCAAATGACTGCAGCCTAAAATGTAAGGACCAAAAGTAAATAAATAAATAAATTAAAACAAAGGATCAGTTTTAGTAGAGTGCCTGCTTTGTTGCACTGTAAATGTGTTTAATGGTTTATATGTTGTCAAGTTTTATTTATTTGAAATAAAAGCTCATAAAACGAAGGCACAGTAAAAAGTGTTGTAAAAAATAAAATAAAAAGAAGTCAGGGAGGTCAGGGTCATTTCTTTTTTGTTTAACTATGTCCCTGAACCCAAAGCACATCAGATAAGGACAGATTTATGTTCTGCTCCTGGCTCGTGTTTCATAAATGCCTTCCTCATTTCATGTTTTAGTCAAAAAAGAAAAAAAAAAGCCTCAATGGTCACTGAATAACTTGGAGCTGACAAAAGTAACAAAGACAAAGATCAGCCAATAAAAAAATTTAGTTCACTGGAATTAGTAAAACAATAAACTAATAAAACTGGTTTTGACAAAAAGGACGATACCTTTAACTAAATATGTTGCACAACCTGAATCAAGGTGGGTTCTGTAAAACTGAGACTTCTGCACCATCCTCAGTTGTTCTGGTCCACCTGTCTTCAGGTGATCTGGTCCACTTGTGTTCTGATCCACCTGTGTTCTGGTCCACCTGTCTTCAGGTGATCTGGTCCACTGGTCCACAGGTGTTTTGGTCCAATTCACCTTATCAAACTGCTCCACCTGTCTCAGGATTGAAGGGTTCCTTCTCCAGATGTTTCATCTCCTTCCACAGATGTTCAACAGGATTTAGACCAGGGCTCAGAAGAACACTTCAGAACAGTCCAGTGTTTGGTTCTGATCCATTCCTGGTGTTTTCCTTTGTGTGTTTTGGGTCATTATTCTGTTGGAGGACCTGTGAGCTGAGTCAGACTGAGCTTTCAGACACCGGGCAGAACATTTTGCTCCAGAATGCCTTGATAGTCTTGAGATTTCATTGGACCCTGCACAGATTAAAGACACCCTGACCCAGATGCAGCATAGCAAACAGAACCGAGCTCCTCCATGTTCCAGTTTAGGTACTGGGTTCTGTTGGGTCTGTGAACAGAGAGCTGATCTGTCCAACGAAGCTTTGTGGCTCCTCAGCAGACATTTTGACAAATTCCAGTCTGTCTTTTTATGATTTGGTGTCCTCCTCGGTCGTCTTCCAGTAAGTCCACTTTAGCTCAAACAACCACTGAAAGTGTGATCTTGACCCTGATGACCTTTGACCTTGAAGTTCATCTCTAATCTCTTTGGAAGCTATAAGAAAAAGAGTTAATACATGTCATCTGGACAGAAACTCTTTAGAAGTTGTCCTGGGCTTTTTGATTATCATTCATATTGTCCGTGTCTTCAGTTTATTACCAGTTGTCCTCTTGTGGACACGTCCAGGGAGGTGTCTCCAGTCCTGTGGACCTTAAACCTCCGAATGATCTGTAGTCAGAGGAACATCGAGTTGCTTAGAGATGGTCTTATAGTCTTTACCTTTAACGTTATGTCAATCATCGTCTTTCTAAGCTTCTGAGACAACTCTGTCCTCAGCTTCCTGTGCTCCATGTTCAGTGTGTTACACACCATGATGCCAAACAGCCCTGTGACTACCTGCCACCTTTTAAACAGGCAGACTGGCTGATTACAGACTGAAGACACATGAGATGCTGATTACCAGGCACACCTGAGTTGAACACGTCCCTGTGGTCATACTGGTTTTAATCTTTTCTAGGTGTACCATCCTCTTTGTTGAGACCAGTCTCATTAGTTTGTTTATTTTTGTTAAACCAAAATTGTGACGTCTGATGGTCATGACTTCATCCTCATCTATTTTTCTTCCTGTATTTTAGTTGGTTTCAAGTTATTTCAGTGACGTTTGTATGTTTTTCTTACTTTGCCAACTTTATCTGCGTCCAGATGTCACTGATAACTGATGTGAATGTTTAAATAGTAATTTAAAGCTTCACTGATTGGATCAATGAACAGTTAACTTCAGCTGGATTTAGGTCTGCGAATAACTGCTTTTATTGAAAAAGCCTGTTCTAAATCCAAACTGATTAAACTGTGACAATAAAGGCAATAAAATAATCTATAAGCAGTCATTGTTTTAATTTAAAACACTAATATGATGTGATTTTAGAGAAATTTCAGGTTGTCACAGAAATTCTGCAAACAGATTGTGGATTACATCCGTCCTCTTTCAGATAGTTTTCTTAACCGGACGTCTCAGCTTGAACACATTTTAGTCAAACTTAATGTCTGGACTCACCTGGGCCATGATCTCTGAGCTGCTCTTTTCTTGGTGTTTTTGGCTGAAACTGTAAGAAAAGGTTGATGATAAGCAGGAACAAAAGTTGGAGATCAAATCTGATTCTTCATGGGTTTATCTGTTAGAGGATCAGGCCTGATTGTTGTTTCTTTTATTATTTTTTTCTTTTTTAATAAATGGTTTAGGTTATGAAATGATAACTCATAACAATCTCCCAAATCCTTTCGATTGGATTATAGTGGGTTTTATTAAAAATATGACACTTTGGAAAACCTGTCAGTTTAGAAATGTATAAAAACCACTGTCTGGTGTTTATAACACTGTTAAAATTAATATCAGAGTTTTTTCTTCTCAGGCAAGAAAAAAAAAGTCTGATAGGAATTTTTTCGCCTTCAACTCCTACATGTGTCCAGTTTATCACTTTTATTGTCTGTCCAAACAGGTCTCACTTGTAAATGAGTCTTTGAGGCTCATTGTGACTTATCTGTTTAAATAAAGGTTGAATTAATTAATTTGACATAAATGCTTTAAAGTTGCTTTAAAAGTACAGTTTCCTCAAATGATTGTGGTGGCCAAGGATTAATCTATGAAAGCCAAGGCCACCATTGGCCTTCTTTCTTTTTCAGAAATAGGTCTTGTTTAACTCTGAATGCTAGAAAACACCTTGTAACTGAAACTTTCCTTCCCTCCATTGACTATGCTGACATACATGAACGCTTCTACAAGCACCCTGCAGACGTTGGATGCTGTCTATCACGGTGCACTAAGAGTCATAACTGACTGTAACTACTGTACCCACCACTGCACCCTGTATTCACTAGTTAACTGGACATCAACTTCATGCAGACTCTCTCACTGGTACATTTTCATCTTTAAATCACTTCTTGGTCTGCTGCCTTCATGCATCTCCTCCTACATGTCTGTGTGAGTGCAGCTACAGCGTGCGCTCTCAGGACATAATTACCTGCAGTGTTCCCTCAGTGCGGACTGAACTAGGCAATAGGGCCTTCTCCTACTCCGTTCCTGTTTCCTGGAATATCTTACAAAAAGATCTGAAGCTCTCGACCTTGACCTCTTTAAGTGGCTTCAAACATCTGCTAAGTTCATGGCAAAAACCAAAGCAAACATGTTCTTGTTTTTAATATTTTACATCGGTTTATAATGTAGCTGTTTTTGTTTCGTTTTTTAAAATATAATTTCTTCCATTTACTTTTCATTTTATATGTTTTTAATGATTGTCTACTGTTCTCATCTGTTCTTTGTTTAAAACAGGTCCCTCTTGTAAATGAGGCCTCAAGGCTCAATGAGACCTGAATAAATAAAGGTTGAATTGAACTGAATTGGCCCCCCTGCCAAGCAATTTTTTCCACCACCACCAGTCGTAGGAAACCACCTCTGTTCTTCTCCATAGTGCAACTCCTCCCCACTTGAATATCTTGCACCAAAAACATTAAGGTTTACTTGCATTCTCTTCAAAACACTCATCTCCAAAACTAAAAACTTTCACTATTCAAATTCCTCAGCAACGGGTAACATTGACATGTCATAAAATCATCAAAATACAAGTGACTTTAAATATTTGTTACTTTTTAGATTCATACATTTGTTATGGTTAAAAAAAAAAAAAAGAAATGCTGAATCTGGTAAATATATTAAAACGATGGTTACTATCTTAAGAAGTTGAGTTCTGTAAAACAGTTATAACCAGTTAATATCTTACCTGTTGTAGATAGTTCTGTGAAACTGTGTAATTAATTCAGGCTAACAGCTAGTTTGAGTCATCAATATTATAATTTACAGTTATTCTGGCAGAAAAAATAAGACAATCCTGCTGAAGCTGCACCAGTGAAACAGATAGATAATTCTGTGTTCTGTGTATAACCATGATATGATGATGGGATGAAGATTTATAAAATGTCATTGTGAGATCTGTTGTAACATTTAGACAACAGCAATTCCTTTTGGTCTTGTTCCCATTTGGACTAGCCTTGAGCTGGTAAATCGTCCGAATGACAACATTGTTCTTCAATCTGAGGTCCTTTAAAGAGTTGTACGCAGCAGGTAAAATAATAATCCTCTAACATCCTGAGAGAGGAGTAAAGGAGGCCATCTTTGTGAAAAGAAATCGTCCATCATTAAACAGGGGTGGAGGCCTCCGGGTTCAACTGTCCCCCTCTTTCAATGCTATGATTGCTAGTATCACTCAGCCCTCTGTGAACAGTAAACAGCCATCAGTGTGCTAATGATCCATTGTTAGGCTGATGGTCCTTCTTGAGCATGTGATCAGCTGGTTTTGGTTGTCAGCAGCAAACTGGTTGATCCACTCTGAGAAGGTGCTATTTAAGAGACTGAGCTGAAAACAGCACCTCAGACTGAGGAAGTCTCTTGGATGAGAGACGAAACGTTTCTATATTTTTTTGCTTTGTTTTTTATTTGTTTTGTTTTTTTTTAATGTCCAGAGGACCAG